CTATCTATCTAATCAACACAGTTAGCTTGCCAGCTAATATGCTAACCTACGTTTGCTAGTTGTTCAGTGTAATATGCCAATCTACTATGAACAACAGCTAGTCTAGGCTAGCAAGAACATGTTTACAATTGCAATCTTATACGTCTGCTACGTTCGGTCATTCATTGTAGCTGGCATGAAAACAATGTTTTCCCTAGCATGTCTAGCTCTAGCTAGCCTTCTTGTTTAGCTATGTAGCATACACGCTATGAACGGTAGCTCGGTAGCATACACGCCAGGAACGCCAACTATAATGTACTGTGGATGTGGATGTGTTACACAAACAGTTACCGGTCACCTTGTCGCAGACAATCTGCTCGACAAAATATGTTTGTCTTTTTTGTTTGCCTGCGATGATGGTACTTCAGGACTGCTTCTTAAGCTCAAATCACACTCTCGCAGACTTTTCCGGTGATTCTAAAGTAGATGACAATGTGTGTGTGTCGATTAAGAGGAAAAGATGCCTGGTTTTTTTGTTGTTATTACTGTCAGGAAATGTTCAACCTAACCCTGGTCCGCCCAGTAGTAGTAGTCAGATCGCTACTCCTGCTGATTTTAAAGCTAGGTCTGGGTTGGGTTTCATCCACTTGAATGTGCGCAGTCTACTAGGTAAACTAGATTTTGTCCGCATTTGGGCAAGCTCGACTGACGCTGACGTCATTGTGTTATCAGAAACATGGCTAAATAAAACTATTTTGGCCTCTGACATATCCTTAAATGGTTATAATGTGTATCGTACCGACCGGCCTAATAAAGGTGGTGGAGTTGCCATTTATGTTAAGAATAAGTTCAGTGTAACCACATTGATTTCCAAATCTGTCAGTAAGCAATTCGAATTTTTAGCCTTAAATATAGAAGTGGCAAAGGGGCAACAAGTCATGGTGGTAGGGTGTTACAGACCCCCCTCAGCTGTCAAGGACTCCTTGTCTTCACTAGCAAAACTTTTATCGCAACTAGACTACAAGGAAATAGTGCTACTTGGAGATTTTAACTGGGACTGGTTAACTGCAGTATCAGAGGATTTTAAAAACCTTTGTATCTCTCTGAATGTTACTCAGATTGTAGATAGTCCTACTCGCCCCTAACGTTAAGTCCCCTAATAAATCCTCCCTAATTGATCTTATTCTAACTAATGTTGCCTATAAATACCCATCTGTGGGAGTATTTGCAAATGATGTGAGTGACCACTGTGTTGTAGCCACAATTAGGGACACTAAGGTCCAAAAGGTTAAACCCCGTATTATTATTAAGAGACACATAAAACATTTTGTGGAGCAGGGTTTTGTTCATGATCTGTTTGGGTTTGATTGGGGAAAAATCGATCTGTGCTGATGTTGAAACTGCATGGTCTTATTTTTATCTTGGTTTTATGGAAATTATAGATAGACATGCACCCCTACGTACTTTTAGAGTAAAGGGACGAGACAATCCTTGGTTTTCTGCTGAACTGTCCAGTCTCCTACATGAGAGAAACAAGGCCTGGGCAAAGGCTAGGAAATCAGGCTCAGAGGTAGAATGGCTGCGTTTTAGGCAACTAAGAAATAGCTTCACTTCACAGGTCAAAAGTGCTAAGTCGAAGTACTATTTGTCAGTTACTACAGAAAACCTAAATAATCCTAGGAAATTTTGGAAAGCCATAAAATCGCTATCCACCGGTGAGATCCGAAATGAGCTACCTCCGTGCATTACCACAACATCTGGCTCTATATCGGACAGGGCTACTATGCTAAATTGTTTTAATGAGCATTTTGTGTCCTGCGGTTCTATGTTTGATTCTGTGACTAACTCTGCTACTGTGAACACCACAGTCGGTGACTCTGAACAATGTGGTCTGGAAAACCCTTTCAGTTTTACTCCTTTTACTGTTGATGTTGTTCGTGAAGCTTTAACCAAGTTAGATCCTAAGAAACCGGCCGGCCCGGACAACGTGGAACCTTTCTTTTTAAAGATAGCTGCAGAGTTTATTGCTCCACCTCTCACTACTCTTTTTAACCTCTCCCTCAGCACAAACACAATTCCAAAACTGTGGAAGTCAGCGTATGTCCTGCCTTTGCTGAAAGGAGGGGAGGCAACTGTTTTAAATAATTATAGGCCAATCTCTAAATTATCAGTTATGGCTAAGGTTCTTGAACGCCTAGTGAGTGAGCAGGTAAAGGTGTTTTTATGTACAAATGACATCCTGTCTAAACATCAGTCAGGCTTCAGAAAGCAACATAGCACCATCACTGCCACAATGAAAGTGGTGAATGATGTGGCGAGTATTTTAGATAATAAGCAGAGCTGTGCAGCTCTATTTATTGACCTTTCCAAAGCGTTTGATACCGTCGATCATCGCATCTTAAAGCAGAGGCTACTCAGTATTGGCATATCCAGTCATGCAGTGGGGTGGTTTGTGAACTACCTCTCTGAAAGGTCCCAATGTGTTCATTTTGATGGGCTGTCTTCAGAGTGGTTAAACATTACTAATGGTGTTCCTCAAGGTTCTGTTTTAGGTCCACTTTTATTCTCCATCTACATCAATAGTTTAGGTGAAAATGTCAATGGAGCAACCTTACATTTTTATGCGGACGATACCGTTATGTACTGTGCATGTCCCTCCATTATCCCGCTGTTGTTGAATTGCAAGCTGCTTTTAACATTATTCAGACTCAGCTCTCTGAACTAAAGCTTCTTTTAAATGTTGATAAAACCAAGGTAATGCTCTTTTCAAAAGCCAAAAAGACACCAGAGCCTGTTTTAGATATTTTAACTACGCAAGGAATAAAACTTGAAGTGGTTGCCTGTTACAAATACCTTGGTATCTGGCTTGATGATTGTCTCACTTTTAAAGGTCATGTCAATAACCTGCTTAAAAAACTGAGGGTTAGACTAGGTTTCTTCTACAGGAACAAGTCCTGTTTCTCGCTCGAGGCCAGAAAAAGGCTCGTCACTGTGACCTTTTTACCTGTGCTGGACTATGGTGATCTGATTTATATGAATGCACCTGCCAATTGCCTGGTCAAGTTAGATGCTGCGTATCACAGTGCACTGAGATTTGTGACTCATCACTGTACCCTGTATGCAAGGGCTGGTCTGCCTTCACTAACTGTACGGAGGCTCAGTCACTGGTACATTTTTATATATAAAGCCATGTTAGGGAAACTTCCATCCTACATCTGCTCCCTGATCTCACGGCGAATTGTAAGTGGCTACTGCCTGAGATCGCATGCTGTGGTTTTATTAAATGTGCCAACTGCTAGGACTGTCTTAGGGAAAATAGCATTTAGATGCGCAGCTCCACTGTCCTGGAATAGTCTGCAATTAAAATGGAAACTGAGCAATCTGGTGCCACTGAATGTTTTTAAAGCTCGGTTGGTTGCTACTGAATCGGAAGCTGTTGGTACCTGTGCATGTGGATAGTATGTAAATTGTAATCCCTGTAATGCTACTGTATGATGTCCTTTTGTTGTTCTGTTTATGTTTTTAATGTTTCATGTGGAACCTACTTGAGCAGGTCTCCCTTGAAAAAGAGATCAATGATCTCAATGGGATACAACCTGGATAAATAAAGGTGTGAAATGACTGACCGTACGGTAAATCACCCGGAGTAGGGGGGGGGTGGAGTACAGCGCTTCGCGATTGTCAACGGGGGGGTGGAGTAAAGCGCTTCGCGATTGTCAACGGGGCGTGGGGGGGGTGGTAGTGGAGTACAGAGCTTCGTGACCGCGGAGCGTGTGAACGTTATGATCAGCTGTTTTAGCGCAGAGCTGCTGTACAGACCGACGTTAACAGCAGCCCTGTCTGTGCACAGCACACGGAGACCGGTGATCTAACCGCCTTCTGGAAGAGCTTCACAAGTACGTCGGTACGCAAATGCGCTTTGTGACACAAGTGACGGTACGCATTTCAGATTGTTGCCGCGCATGCGTACCTGCGTACCAGTTATGTGCACCCCTGTTTATAACGCTGTGAGCATGGGTCTGCGGAGAGCATTTCAACGTAGAAAAACGTTTACCCATTTAAACAGTCGTGGTAGATACCTTGTTTGTTTTAAACATCATAAATACACAAACAACAATGAATACTTACAGGTTGTGTACCCGAATCTCCCGCTGGTCCAAACAAAGTAGGAACAGCATCGTTCTTCAGTGTCCTACGCTGTACATATCCGGCATGAGTCGCTGAAAGGTTTTGGGAAGCTTTCTTACGTGAAAGGCTGGCAGAGGGTGCGGCCATAACTCTGGGCGTGGCTACTGGGTATCCCTACGTAGCGATACCCAGGAAGTAAACAATGGAAAATGAGAAATCTCCAACGAGGCGTTTTGGGGAGGTATTTTCTGTGTTAGAGTTTTACTCGCTACAGGGTGTATTTTGAGGGTTTTTGACTCTGCAGACCGTTTACATGCATAAAAACCTTCATAACACACAAGGGGATGGGTAATAACCGGAAAAGCATGATATGGGACCTTTAAGTAGCGTGGTAATGAAACAAACAGAGGAGTAGTGGAGACAGAGCAGATGTTGTCTCCCAGCTGGTACCGTGGAAAAGAGCACCAGAACACGTTGGTTCTTCCTGCTTGTATCTCTCCTTCGCTCCTCCTCTCTCGGGGCTGTGACGTGGGGATCCGCCCTCCGCTCTCTTCTGTGTTCGATATCGCGCATAACAGGGGATTTAGACGTTGTATATTCATTGCATAACTCCACACGCCTTTTCTCCTCATGGACTCATTCATGACTTTTTATTTACCAGATACTTTGTGAAACCGGAGGCCTGTACTACGAAGCTGGATTTTCGCTTAGCCGGCTAACTTCAGGGAAAGCTCGGGCTTTCCGGTCCTACGACGCTGGTTCTCTTTTTAGCAGGCTAGATTTCCATGGTAACTTATGCTGAGCGGCAAACCTGCTCCGGAGCAGGTTAGGTGGCAGGCTAAGAGATCAGCCTATAAAAGCTCCGCCTATCGACCAATGAAATCTCTGTGAAAATGACGTTGGCATTTGTGGATGACACTGTGGAGCTCGGCGCTCAGATTGTGAGAGGTGCTCTCAGGCTGGAGAGGATATTTAGGGACAGAATAAACCCTTTGGCTTTCCCTGAAGAGTATTTGTATGAAAGATACAGGTTCCCGTCAGAAGGGCTGACTTATCTGTGTCAGCTCCTCGAGCCATATATTCAGGGTGCGTACGGGTGCTGGAAATCCTTGAAAATGCTTGAAATTGTACGAGGTGTTTTCAAGGTTTGAAAAGTGCTTGAATTTTGGGAATGGTGCTTGAATTTGGGATAAAGTGCTTGAAATTGTAAATGCTTTACTTCGCTTTTTAGATTAAAAGAAAATAAAGAAGTCGGAGCGCGCTTAATTGCTTTGCTTTTACATAAAACAGCTCCGGCCTTCCTGCGTAATGCGCGTGACCGGCAAGTGTTTTTGTTACGTGTGTGACCTGGGCATTCTGATGAGAGTGATAGATGACAGTATGCCAGGAGGTTGCCGTTTCAACGAGCGTTGGCTAGCAGAAGACAAATACAAGCCATGGCTAAGACGAGGGTCAAGCGAAGCCCAAGAGTAGCCTCCTGCAAAGTGTGCAACAATAACGATGCGAGAGTCTGCGCTGACGAGCCACACACCACACGAAAGGTACACCATAGTAGAGCATTTTAGATTAGGCTATCGTTGCATGTAAAATACATGACACTTTTCTCTGTGCGCGGCAAAACAAGCTCTCCAAAATGGCTTCACTAGTCTGGCAGTATTTTAAGTGTCCGAAAATGACAATAAAATAGCGGTATGCAACGTGTGTGTGAAGCAGAAATCCTGCAGCTCCACCCGCTGTGACGGACCGGTGAGCGGAGCAGAACACACATTAAGAGTTAGACCTAACACACTTAGCTATTTTATCTACCTCTGGAACAAGCTAAACTAGTTATAAATATATTTATTCTTCACTGTCGGGTCACTGATTACTGGATCAGTGAGCTGCATGAGATACTGACAGGCTGTCAGGAGAGAGAGAGGGGGAGAGAGGAAAAGAGAGCGATATCGGTATCGGCCGATACTGATTCCGGCGATCGGCTCCAAAATTGGCGATCGGAGCATCCCTAATAATTGTATATGATATGTTTTATAATGATTGATCATGAAAGTGTTATCAAACCTGGTAAAGTTGCAGCTAGTTTGAATGACTTTGTATACTGCAGGGTAGCTTGTGAATTTACTCCAGGTGGAACTAAAGTCTGATTTAACACTTGATTATATTTCACATCATTCATCCACATCTGTAAAGTAACTAAAGGTATTAAATACATGTAGTGGAGTCAAAGTACACCATTTACCTCTGACTTGTGTTTACTGCCAACCTAAAAGTACCTCAAAAATAGTAATCAATAATGTATTGAAAAGTTATTTGGCTGATTGTTTTATATTGGCTCAGCCAGGTTATATGGGATGCCCAGTACAGATGGGTCACTCATTTTGAAATATTAAACATAGTTTTCTTTTCTAACATTTTAAATTTTTCATCCTCATGTAGAATGCTATTATGAAACACACATTTGGTTGTTTATAGCATAAAGAACATCTGATTTAATGTGAGGTAGGGAAATAATCATTTGAGTATAAGTATGTGTATATAAATATGTAATTTACAACAGCTGTAAGATGCTTGAAAAGCTTGAAAATGCTTGAAAAGTGCTTGAATTTGACTTTGGAAAAGGTGTAAGAACCCTGTATATTGCTAATGCCACACATCGGAGTTGTGCCCTTACAGTGCCGCAGACTGTATGTATTGCTTTGCGATACTTTGCAACCGGCAGTTTTCTTTATGCCGTGGGGGATGCAGAGAACCTAAGCAAGAATACAGTCTGCAGTGCTATTCATAAGGTCGCACATGCTCTGACAGGGCTCGCACAGACCTTTATTGTGTTTCCTGGCACATGTCCCACGCAGACGATCAAAGAGGGATTTTACAGCATGGCATGATATGTGATTATATCTTTACAGTGAATGTTGTTCCTATGACGTACACTGTTGTATAATAAATGCAGCCTACTATTTAATAGGGTTTCCCAGGGTGCTTGGCTATATTGACTGCATACACATTCCGATCTCTGCGTCCCTGGGAGAAAATGAAGGCGATTATGTCAATCGCAAATCCATCCACAGCCTCAACATTCAGGTAAATCTTGCACATTCACTTACAGAACACACATTGAAGTCTGGGTGATAAAAGGAACTCACACATTTAAATATTCACACAGTACATGTTTCACACTTGGACTATCTTTATCTATAACATGGACGTATTTCAAATGAACATTGATGCTACACTGACTATGATGCTCTTATTGTGGAAGTAGGCTTGTTAACCCCACATGCTTTTGCAGGCCACCTGTGACCACAGGTGTGTCATCACCAGCCTTGAGGCAAAGTGGCCTGGATCAGTCCATGACTCAAGGATCTTCTCAGAGTCATCACTGTGTCACAAACTGGAGCAGGGTATGGCAACTGTACATTCTTATTGTTTTGTGCTTCTTAACCTGTTCCACTCTGAGCCTGTTTTTCAGGTCTCAGGCTCGAAAATGACATTCCCAGAACAAATGACCATATCTTCCCTTCTAAAAGGGTTAAATTAATAATCTTTTCTCAAAGTAATGATAAACCTGTGAGTTGGATGTAGAAGTGTCAGAATCAATATAAATGTTTTTTATTTTAAAGAAAATTCAGATTTTACATAGTAAAAAACTGTAAATTATAGTGTCCGTCCAAAAATTATTTTTTACAGATAGTGAAAACTACCCTTGGATGATGGGTTAGTAGACTAAAAGCTTTAGGAATCCAAAGTACAACATATAATAAGTACCCTGTATCAAGATTGATGCAAAACAAGTGAAATTTGACCTTTTTAGAGAGATTTAGCCAAAAACTGGGCCATCTGGGGTCATTTGGGTGGATTTGACCTATCTCTGGCCCCCCTTGCTCGATCTGGTTGGTTGACATACCCTTGTGACCGTTAGAGCCAATAGAATCGAAGGAGGAGACTCACATAGACACACATTATAAAGAAAAAATGTTGCCGCTTCGCGTGTGGAAAGCGAAACTAAACTGGAGGAATGTCTCCTTCTGGAGTTTGGAAACTAAAACGCAGTTGTATTGCTTATGGATTATCAGAAATAATTTCAAAGAAGGCACAGACACATAGGATGAACCTATGGATTAACTGCAGCATCGTTTTTTTATCGTTTTAATGCCATTGAAGACCACTTTTGACCAAGGTGAGCCATATTTACATGTTTAGCTTCTTGGCTCCACATGTGATGATGTACGCTTTCGTTGATAGCGTCGCGAATGTTTATCACTGAGTGTTGAGGTGGGCACCGTTAGATTCAGTGTCTCCAGGACACCAAAAAATAGTGTTTGGTTGTGCATCTAGGATAAGTAATAAGGGAGTTCTGAGTGAGTTTATGTGCCTTTGTCGGTCCCGTTTTTTCGATCGAGGCTAATTCAGAGGCTGAGTGCTAGCATTGTGGGTTTTTTTTGAAAAAAAAAATTAAAAAGATCAGTTAGCTGAGTTTCTTCCCGTTACATGGATATAACACATTCATAGTTTTATTCAATATTAAGATTCCTTAGACGTTGTTTCCTGCAAATGACGCGTTTATCCGCCCGGTACCGGGGGGAAGGCGTGAAACAGGTTAAGCTGCCTTTTGTGGTACTTATTATGGAAATATTCCTTTTTCTTCAGGGCTCTTCAGTGGAGTGCTGCTCGGGGACAGGGGTTATGCCTGCCAGCCATTCCTTATGACCCCCTATCCTGACCCTGGTGAAGGGCCACAAACCAGTTTCAATGTGGCCCATGCCAAGACCAGGGTCAGGATAGAAATGACCTTTGGGATACTGAAGGCCAGATTCACCTGCCTGCGGGGGCTCAGAGTGGCCCCTGAAAGAGCTTGCCGCATTATCACTGCCTGTGTTGTGCTGCACAACATCGCCACCATGAGGAAGGAGAGGGCCCCTCCTGCAAACCCCCAACCTCCAGATGTGGTCGACCCCATCACCCTAGACTACCCTACTGGCAGGGCTGTCAGAGATGCCATCACAGTGTTATTTGCATAATACATTAAAAAAACACACAGATAGAGAGGCCTTGGGTGATTTATGTAGGTTTTTATTTTGTCAGCCATTCCTGAAGGAAAAAGAGAAAAAGACATTATTTTTGGTTTACTTTTTCAGTAAAGAAAAAAGGGATTTCTCTTTTAGGTATCCTAAAAGATAAAGGTCACCTTATGCACCTTTCATTTGACTTGAAAATAAATGACAGAATGTTACAAAATTACCTGTCTTTCTCTTTCTAATTTTTCAACCTCCAACTTCATTTTTCTTATGCGTAGGGCATTTAGTTCCATCGTTTGGGCATTTATTTTGATAGTTTGGACGAGGGTCCGTTTATAAAGGGCCCTCACAGAGTCTGCTTCAGCCTGAAACACATGAAACACATATATGTTGCATTAACTTTCAAGCATGGCTCACAGCAAGAAAGCTGAGCATTTTAAAGTTGCCTATACTTTTACATTTAGTTTAATTAATTACTTGTCGTGATGAGGGCCTAGATGTGGAGGCCCTAGATGTGGAGGGCCCAGGCTGCGGGGGTGGAAGAGTTCCTTCTTCCTGCAAATTGAGCACAGCAAATATCTTTTCAATAGAGAGTAGTCATTTGTCCCATGTGCAGACCACCACCATGTGCAAGTAATCAAATTAATTAATCAATTAAAGCAACGTGTCCACACCCTCTCTGTCTGTGTTAGAGGCAAATTGAGAAGTTCATATCATTGGTAACAAAATACTAAAGTGTACCGGCAGAGAGCTCTCTGAGAACACAGACAGCGTCTCATCATCATCCAGGCACTCCTGAAAAAAATAAGAAATGTCAATGGTCTGTGTTATCCATATTCAGCGACCATATAGGACGACATACCAAAGGTTACGTTACCTCTGTATGAGGTAGTGGGTGATTTGGGGGGGGCAGCAACACCACGTTCTCCCCATCATCTGCAGAACAATAAAATAGGCCTACATGTCACTTACTCCCACAAAAATAGATATATAATTGTGTTGTATAGCATCCCAGCTGTTTAAAGCTCCCTGACTCTTACCCTGTATAAAAAGGTGGTGTGAGCTGCTGCCACCAGGGTCTGTAGAGACCCCCCCTTCCACCCCTGCCATCAAGGGCCGACCCACATTTTTGCTGAGGGCCAGCTCCTCGGCAGGGGTGAAATCTGTTGGAGGAGGGCCCCCTCCTGTCTTCCTCTGCTCATTTATTTTCTTGTTGGCTGCAAGAATTGTGAAAAAATGTGACTGCTTTCCTATACAGTTATGAAACACAGACTAATTGAAGCAATACTAAACGTGTAGTTCTATTTTTAAGATCGCAAAAGAGGGACATTTACCAGATTGAATGATGTTTTTATATTTCACTCTCATTTGCTCCCAAGTCCTTTTAGACCTGCCAGGGTTACATCTGAAAAACGAAAAAAAAACGTCATGTACAGCTAGAATTAAAAAAAGTTCTATAAAAAATTACAAAAATATTAGGCTTAAAGTCCACTTGTGACCCTCGGTCGATGATATTATAATGCAAAAAAGGCTGCCACTCAATGATCAATTTGGTCTATTTATCCTATAACATTAATCTGGAAGCGCCGGATTTATTTTTGTACATGATTGGCGTGCATCCAATACACTTTTTAAAGATGTGCAGCTCTGCACGCTGTTGCATATAGCCTATATATATATATATATATATATATATATATATATATATATATATATCTATACTTATTTTACTTACGCATTCACGGAGTCTGCAATGTCCTGCCAACATTGTTGGCGATGTTTGGCAGCCGCAAGGGTACTGCTTTTGGCTTTCAAGATGTGTTTCAGATCTTCATAGCGGCTCATTATTACTGTCTGCTCCTCGGCCGTGAAATAAGTAGCTCGTGGTTTCTCCATGATTCCGATTGGTCGAATGCTCCAAATACCACCCCTTTTATGTGAACGCGCACCTAACTAGATAGGACACGGCTGGCTTGAGCGATCCACTTGATAACCGGCGTCGTAGTACAGTTTAGCGCCAGCACGTATGTTTTGGATTAGGCCAACCGGCTAACTCAAACATATCCAGGTTAGGAAAATCCAGCTTCGTAGTACAGGCCTCAGAAGTGACTTCACTGTTGATATCCGGAGACTCCATCCCGTAAAGCTTTTCAAAATAAACTTTAGCAGCAACGTTAGCCACAGACGAATGCTAACAGGAAATGTTTTCAGAATAAAACAGTTTTAAGCTTACTGTATGTTTAAACTAAATTACGTCATTAAACATTGATTTTAATTTTTTACACAACCCTCAGCATGTCATTGCATCAGCCTTTTTCGAGATTTTGTGTGCCAATTTATGCAGTTAAATAAAAATCCTGCTGTGAGCCAATTAACTGATGTTCATGAGCTCTTAAGAGCTCATAAGCTTTTTTTTTCACGAAACTGTGTCTCAGGGCTTCTTAACATTTAACAACCTATTAAAGGTAGGGTAGGTAAGAATGGAGAAACCAGTTCGAGTGCGCTAGAATTAGAAATATGACGCTCTTTGTATCAAAACAAAACAAAACGTACCTTCTTATATATCGACTTTCTCCACTTCAATCAACTTTCTTTCCTCCGGCTTCAATTTCCATCACTCTCGTTCATTCTCTCTATGTCTGGTCAGACATCAATCTGTTCCACGTAGCGCGCCCCCTAGAGGCCTGGAGGCGGAGCACTTCCGGTATGATTTTTTTTTTGGGTTTGTATGTGTTTTTGACTTTGCATACCATTTTTGTATTTTCAGCGTTTTTCTTTTGCGTTTGTTTTCAGGGTTTGTGTTGTATTTAGTTTGCATAATTTCTGTAAATGCAGCGTTTTTTTGTTGTATTTGTTTTCAGGGTTTGTTTGTTTTTCATTTCATTATTAGCAGGTGTTTCCTGCTTATGTATGCGCTTTTGGCCGTTGTTCAGCGTTTGCACCTGCCACCATTGTCTTGGTAAAAAAATCAAATGTTTTGAAGTTAAACACTTTCTTGCATTATAGGCATATTCTTTCCTCGATGTCTGTTCCGTCTACACTAAAACCTGACAGTAAGCAAACGACAGGGTTAACCTGTTAAGCCCTGAGCCTGTTTTTCAGGTCTCAGGCTCGAAAATGACATTCCCAGAACAAATGACTATATCTTCCCTTTTAACCTGTTCGGTACCGGGCGGATAAACGCGTCATTTGCAGGAAACAACGTCTAAGGAATCTTAATATTTAATAAACTATGAATGTTTTATATCCATGTAACGGGAAGAAACTCAGCTAACTGATCTTTTTAATTTTTTTTTCCAAAAAAAAACCCACAATGCTAACACTGAATTAGCCACGAGCGAAAAAATGTAACCTATCACTGCACCTAAACTCACTCATAACTCCCTTATTACTTATTCTAGATGCACAGCCACCCCCTCGATTAGCATCTCCTGGAGACACAGAATCTGTGGGTGCCCACCCCAACACTCAGTGATAAACATTTGCGACGCTATAAACGAAAACGTACATCAAAACATGTGGCGCTAGGTAGCTACAAACGCTAACATGGCTTACCTTGGTCAAAACTGGTCTTCAATGGCATTAAAACGATAAAAAAACGATGCTGCAGTTAATCCATAGGTTAATCCAATGTGTCTGTGTCCTCTTTGAAATGATTTCTGATAATCCATAAGCAATAAAACTGCTTTTTCGTTTCCAAATGTCAGAGCGAGAAATCGCTTCACTCTGGTGCAAACCTGCATGCGGGAAGCCCCCACCGTTTGTTTTCACAACGAGTGTGTGTGGGGGCCTCCTCCTTCGATTCTATTGGCTCTAACGGTCAGAAAGAGGTGTCAACCATCAAAATCGACCAAGGGGGGCCAGAGATATGAAAAAAAAAACATTTTCACCCAAATCACCTCAGAGGTGGAGTGGTTTTGGCTAAACCTCTCTAAAAATGTCAAATGTCACTTGTTTTGCATCAATCTTGATACAGGGTACTTATATGTTGTACTTTGGATTCCTCAAGCTTTTAGTCTACTAACCCATCATCCAAGGGTAGTTTTCACTATAAGTAAAAAAGAATATTTGGACGGACACTGTCATTTACAGCTTTTTACTATGTAAAATCTGAATTTTCTTTAAAATAAAAAACATCTATATTGATTCTGACACTTCTACATCCAACTCACAGATGTAACCTTGCTTTGATAAAATAAATTATTCATATAACCCTTTTAGAAGTTAAGTTGTAGTCATTTGTTTTGGGCATGTCATTTTCGAGCCTGAAACATGAAAAACAGGCTTGGTGCTTAACAGGTTAAAAGGAGTAAATTAATAATCTTTTTTCTCAAAGCAATTATAAACCTGTGAGTTGGATGTAGAAGAGTCAGAATCAATAGATTTTTTTTATTTTAAAGTAAATTCAGATTGAACATAGTAAAAAAAATTATAGTGTCCTTCTGTAGATCGTGATCGTTATTCTCGATTCAAGGAGGAAGTTAAAAAGAGACAATGTAGTCCCGGAAAGGTTGTACTGTAAATGGTGTACTTTAATGAAGTAACGTGGTTTTGAAACAGACAGAGCAAATCAAGAACACAGCGCCATGTTCGGAGGAGGGTGAAGGAAGGGCAGAGCAAGCCCCGTGCTCTGCGTGTAAATCTGATTCCTGGCTCCTCCTCTCATTGGCTGCTTCGTCTGTTTCCCCCTCGTTCTTCTGTGTCTGATATCACGTAAATAAAAGGATTTAGACGTTGTGTGTTTGTTTGCCTTTTCTCCTCGTATTCTCATTCATGACTTTTTAGGGCCCGAGAAACGGAGCGCTAGGACCCAACGGCGTCCTAGCACGAAGTGCGAGGAACCTATTGTTATTGGAGGAATTCTTCTTCTTATTATTAGTCGCCATCTTTCCTGTTTTTGAGGGCTTTAGGATGCTTCAAAAGTTGTATAATTTTGCACGGACGCCAGGACCGGTAAAAATTGCAACATTCTGGAGTCAATGGGTTAAAATATTCCAACGTAC